GGACTTCTTGTTGTCCTTAATCCGGGAAGCCAGCCCCTCTTTACTACCTCTACAAAACCATCAGTTACTTGCTTTTCCCCATAATATTTTCCCCAACTATTTTCCCAAACGATCTCTCTCTCATTGAACTGGTGCTACTGCCTCAAACTGCATTTGTTCCCTTATATTGTGCCCTTATTTCTACAGGTTCTGCATATTTCTGTCATTTAAGCAATCCAATAAAATGCAGTTTTCAAAGGATTCAACCTGTGCAAATAATGCTGGTTATGTCAAAAAACAAGAAATTAATAGCAAAGTTTATGAACCATTCAGAGACAATAAATAACTCTGAGCTTCACACAACAATTCCAAGTCGTCAGGAGCACAACCCATCTAAATTAATCAGAGAGGGTCAGAAATTAATTGTACTACAGCTAACAATTTTGGAACACATGTCTTTTCCATATAACATTTCTTTCTTTCCCTTGTTGATTATTATTTTTGATTCATCAGAACTAGAAATGAATACCACTGAAACAATAAACTAGAGAACACTTCACCTTGATGCAGAAACTTCCCACAGAGAATTGTTAACAACATTCCTGGACTAGAATTCTGTCTCCAATACACAGATAATATAAAATTACAGTCATGCCATCTGTTTGAATGGCGCTGGGCTCACTAAAAATGTGGCACTCTGGATTCAACATCATCTTGCAGCCAGCCAAATATAGGTTTAGAAAGTCAACTAACAGAATACAAGTAAAAACTCCTTCTTATTAAATGTCCTCCTAGTGGACAGCCATACCAAATAATACTCAAATACTAAAGCATAAAGAAAGCACTATCTTTTTATTCCACAGAGCAGGAACTATACAGTAAGCACTGCACATCGGGACTCCAGTCCTCACTGAGACTTTTAGGCAAAACAAATACAAACATAGATTGAGGCACTTTTCCAACCGGGGCCTAAAAGGGCAGACATGCTATAGCTAAATGAACTAGTACTTTAATTTACTGATCTGCTCCCATATGTTCCAGAATGTCAGCATCTATTTTTAAAAAGTCTGTCTCCTGTCTATACAGCTACAAGTTATCACCATTGAAGTTTCAGCCAGGATAAAACAACACAAAAAACAAAACAAGAAACACAAATATACCCAAAAATGCAATGGTGCAAAACAGGCCAGTTGCACCAGTGCAACAGAACTACAGTGGGAGAAGGAGGTTTACACTGGGAAAAAAGCACCATAAATAAAAGTTCTTAATATGGTAGGTGATACAAATGTCTGCTAAGCTGGCAGGGAATCTTGAACAACAGCTCTGAGATGCAAAATGCCCCAGGCATGTCAACTGATATTGAATTTAAAAAACAACTGATATTAAATACTAAATTTCACTGCTGCTTTGGTAAGAAGAGGAAGAGAATCATACTGTGGGAACTTTTATTCTCTTCTGCAATCTAACTGAGAAGGAATGCAGTGCAGCCAGGACACATTGTTATATTATAAATATTCCCAAGTGTCATCATACTTCGGCAACTCAAATAAGAAAAGCACTATTGCTCACCTGGCTGCATAACTTTTCCTACAAATGTTAAATAGTTACCTGGTCCTTCCAGAACAGGAATCAAAAACGTTAACAGAGCATCAGATCTAAGTCTTGCATTGGTGTTGCCTGTACTACACTTGTTTGGAATATGACTGCAGGACTTCAGTCTATCACAGACTTTAGGCTAATGACTTTCATAAGTCACTAATGAAAGAAGAATTCACACACACACGTGTAAATAAAGTCTAATAACATGGCATGTATTTGACTGAAGTTATAATTGTGATGAACAGAAGACAGAACTCTAAAATAAACACTTTCTTCCAACAACAGCTTTTAGAAATGCCACCAGCTAATATTTGAGGCAAGACCGGAAGAGTATTTAATTTTTTCTGTAACCATTTAGTTTGGAAAACACTGAAAACATTATTCGGATCTCAAATGTAATCTATTTTTTCATTATTTTATTACTGACTTGCACTTAAAAAACCCTGAGTTTACTGTCCTTATGATCACCCATTTGGATACACTCTGAGAGTGAAATAACAGAATGTTTAACTGCATATTCAGCAGAGATAGCAATATGAAGCTATTCATCTTGAGAAAATGGTTTTCAAACTGAGGTTCTCTTGCAAGTATATCTTAACAGCACTGTATCAATCTGTTCCAATCCATATAAAATCCAGATTTTGAAATAAAGTTCTCAAACAATTAAATCTAACTAATGAGAAAGCTTGTTTAGAAGATCAAGAAATAAAGCTGCCATCAACTCTGACTTCTGTACCTATAGGTAACGATGCAAGTATGATCTCATTCTCAACATAATCACGACAAATTCTGGAAAGATGGGATCAGTTTATACGAGTCTCTCATTCCTTTTCAACCCTCCTATCCCAGGGTGCTGCACTTGGGCAGCAGAAACCAGCAGCACACTTATAGAATGGGAAACTCCCTTCTTGAGAGACGGAGGAAGAAAGGGTTCTTGGAGTCATTATTGACTCCAAGATGAACACGGGCCGACAATGCGAGGTCACAGTTGGCAGGGCTAACCAGACCTTGTTGTGCATCCACAAGTGCATCTCAAGTAGAGCCAGGGAGGTGATCCTCCCCCTCTATGAGACATTGGTCAGGCCACAGTTGGCGTACTGCGTCCAGTTCTGTGCGCCCCATTTCAGGAGGGATGTGGACAATATGGAGAGGGTCCAGAGGAGGGCCACCCATATGCTCCGGGGACTATAGGGCAGACCCTACATTGAAAGGCTGCGGGACCTAAACCTGTTCAGCCTTCACAAGAGAAGGCTGAGGGGGGACCTGGTGACTGCCTATAAACT